TATATATATATATGAATAAGCATCTCTCTCTCTCTCTTACACGTAAATGCCAACAAATACGACACCGCCGTTGTCGGCCAGACCAGATACGAAAGACATCTGATGGGCCCATTCTCCACCACCACTTCCAAATGTAGGAGAGGGAGGAGGAGGAGGAGGAGGAGGAGGAGGAGGAGGACCTTCTCATCCTCCCTTCTCCCCCGCCTTACATATGGTAGCGGTGGTGGAAATTTGCCCATCAAAATCAATATCGGGTGCAGGTGGGTTCGTCTCTGTGCATCAGCTCCCTTGGGGAGGTAGACCCGGGCCCCTGGTCTGCCAGTGTGCGTGCGCCCTCCTGGGGTGCGCTGTTCCTGAAACGCCATGTAGGATTCCACGCTTCCAGCCACGGAGAGGCCGCTGGGCCTGGTGCCCAAGACCTGCCCCACCCAAGACGACCCCCAAAGCCCCCAAGAGCCCTCCCCCCTGGAGGCCCCGGGGAGCCCCAGAAGCACCCCCAGAGACTCCCTGGACACCCTCGGGGACCCGTGGCGGGACATGCTGGAGGCCACCAAAGATCGAGCCCCCCTCAACCGGGGACTTCCGAGGAATCAGGACGCTGGCCGATGGGCCGATCTTTCCCCACCACACTTACCATGGGTAGGAGGAGGAGGAGGAGGAGGAGGAGGAGGAGGAGGAGGAGGAGGAGGAGGAGGAGGAGGAGGAAGAGGAGGGGGAGGAGGACGAGGAGGAGGAGGAGGAGGATAAGAAGGAGGAGAAGAAGGAGGAGGAGGAGGAGGTGGGGGGAGAATACCAGCGGGGACCTCGGGCCAGAGGGACTGCAGGGGCGGAGGAGGGGGAGGAGGGGGAGGAGGGGGAGGAGGAGGAGGAGGAGGAGGAGGAGTAGGAGGACGAGGAGGAGGAGGAGGAGGAAGAGGAGGAGGAGGAGGGGGAGGAGCAGGAGGACGAGGAGGACGAGGAGGAGGAAGAGGAGGAAGAGGAGGAGGAGATGGACCTCCCAGTCCTCTCTCCTCCCCCCCGGTCCTGCCTGTGGCAGTGGTGGTGGAAAGAACATTGGCCCCTCACTGGGGCGCCCTGGAAACCTGCCGCCGTGGGCCGGGACGTGCCCCAGGATGCGCTCGCTTCTCGAGGCAGGCTGCTCCGGGTCCTGGGCAGCAGCGCCCTGCTGGCTCAGGAGGCCCTGAGGTTGGGTCGCGCACGTCCCCCTACAGGCGGATTCTGGGCGAACAATGCTGAGTACCCCCAAAAACGATACCCAAACGTAATCAAAATTCTCCCGGCAAAGCAACCTAACAGCGATGTGTAGGAGCATATCTGGAAGCATTCCCCTTAAGATTCAGATGAGAATCCAGTTGTAGAATTCTGCTGTTCTCGCAGTCGTAGTCGCATTCGCGATGACAGTCGCAGTGGCAACAGGCAGTCAGCCTCAGCCTCAGCCTCAGCCTCAGCCTCAGCCTGCCTCAGCCTCAGCCTCAGCCTCAGCCTCAGCCTCAGCCTCAGCCTGCCTTCAGCCTCAGCCTCAGCCTCAGCCTCAGCCCTCAGCCTCAGCCTCAGCCTCAGCCTCAGGCCTGCCTCAGCCTCAGCCTCA